CTATGTGCTTTTCTATATTAGGCATCCCTTTGAGAAAATATTTTAAGGAGACTTCCTACACAGCATATCTATCAAAGTATCTGAAAATAGAGGTGGTGAGAAAGGGCCTAAAAAACCATACTATCATCTTTTCAAAAATGAAAAATTTAAATTAGGATCATACTTTTTGCCGGAGCATGGCCTAAATATGGCTCACTATGAGCAGCTTCTACATAATGAGAAATAAATATTTAATGCAATTATGCAAATCATTTAAAAGCTATCTGTCCATTGCCTCTATGCCTCTAGCAACTCCCATGACAAGAGAATACTGAAGCCATTAGTGGGGAGGTTAAGAGAGAATTGGGATAGAGATGAGGAAGAATTTGATATTTCTGGTATTATTCACTTGGCCACTCATTCCCAAACAATTAATACCGCCTTTGATTGAGGAAATTACCAACTCCTTCCTCTTCCCCCAACCCTTTTGTAATTCATTTTCCTTCCAAGAATATATTTTGCTATATAAACATGTCACAAAATATGATTTATAAGGATGAAATAGCCAGGGGAAAGTTTTGATGGGCCAGTTTAAAGAATCATGATTTTGTAAATGTAGCTCCTAATTAATAAACATGCTGACATAGTGAAATACAAATATTTTTCCTGCAAATAACAGAAATAATATCATGTGACTCTTAAGAGATAGGCATGCTCAGCTTCACCAGACGTGAAGCATAATGAAAAACTAGTTGGCTATTATTTTCCTGAGGGATGTAGCTTCTTAAAGTAAACTAGTCTTAGAATATGGAAAACTCTACTCCTTGTTTTGGAAATAAAGCCAAACTGGAAATGCAATAAAGCACATTTTCAGTGGCTCTATTTATAAGCTGCATTCTCCCCTAAACAATACTAATCAGCATTTATAGTCAATTCTAAAGGGAAATGAATTTGGAATGTTCAACTCAGCTGGCCCAGTAACTACAAAAGTTAGCAAGTGAACTGCCCAAATTCTGCTATCTGCCACCCAGATGGGAGAGGATATGGGTAGCTAATATGTGCTAATTTGGTATTTCATGAGAGAACACCTTCCCTGGCACCCCACCCTAGGAGGCATGGAAGGTTTTCCAAAGAATGCAACTGATAAAGCAGGAAGAAATTTTATCTTGTCCTCACTAAAAAGATGTATAGAATTTCCGTGTTAAATTATCTTAGGAAGAAAACATCACACAGGTAATGCATTTTTTAAAATGCCACCCATTTCCTTGAAGGAAACACTATCTTTAATGCTATTCTTAGTATTGTTTTTAGGTAAACCTAAATTTTTTACATAATCCATTACTTTTCTTCAGGCATAAAAATTGGGAAAATACCCTTGAAATACTAAATTTAAAAATATATTATAGCATTAGTTATCCTTAGGATAATAGGAATTAGAACCTGAAAAAAATCTTTAAGTCCATTTAGTTCACTAACAGACCCAAAGGAACAACAGGAATAACTTGCCAGAGTAAGTAAATGACAAAAATAGGATTTGAACCCAAGGTCTGTGACTGAAGGATCCTTTCCTTATGCTGTTTATGTCCTCCTGATATACATACTGGTACGTTTTGTGGTTTGGGTGTGCTACTTACAATTCATTAGGGGAAAAGAGGGAATAAGCATTTATGTAGTGCCTACTCTGTACCAGGCACTGTGCTAAGTACTATAAATATTCACAAAAACCCTGTGAGGTAAGTCATTAATCCCATTTTACAGCTGAGGAAACTGAGGCAAACAGAAAGTGGTTTTGTTTGTTTTGTGACTTTCCCAGTCCCACATCTAATAAGTATCCAACACTGGATTTGAACACTGGTCTTCCTGACTCCAGGCCCAGTGCTGTATCCACTGGGCCACCTAGTTGCTTCATTATTTTATAGCACTCTGGAAGGGTGGAGACTGTTAATGAGAGAAATATTGGTCCTTTTTTTTCCTCAGCTTATCCTGCCTGACCACATCCTCCTTGCAGAAAACTACAATTTATAAATTTAAAGAAAAAAAAAGTACAACTCAGAGAAATAAGAAAAGTATAGGTGTGTTGTCCAGTACTTTATTCTGATGCTGTATTTGCCAATGAATGATTGCCTTGGGCCAGGGCAACCTGGTTCCAGTTTCCTTGAAGTAAAAAATTAGAATATTAGGTTGAAGTATTCTGTTATTAAGAATAACTAATAAGAGATTACTATGAACTTTAAAACAAAATGCTGAATGAATAGATACTAATAAATATAAAATTATTTGAAATGTTGTTGCATTTTCAAAGTTCATTGTCTTTTTTTTTTCTTAAACTTTAGACCAATCTAGGCCTTTTAAGTATTTTGGGGTCACAATAACATACTTACCTTCCTAAAACTGTCTAAAAGAAATTTTGTCTTATTCTGGTGGAAAGTTTTTAGCTTAGATGAAAGCCTGTTAAATTAGCTACGAGTTTTGATCACGAGTGATGTCACTACAAGAGCAGCACCTCCTATAAAGGAGACCCCAGTAAAAGACAAAAATGTTTATTGAATACATCTGTATGTACAGAGGAAGCTATATGGCACAGTGGATTAAGTGCTGGACCTGAAATCAGGAAAAGCTAAGTTCAAATACAGTCTCAGAAACTTACTAGCTATGTGACCCTTGGGACAAGTCATTGAGCTATTGTCTGCCTCAGTTTCCTTATTTGTAAAATGAGGGTAATAACAACACCTATCTACCAGATTGTGGTGAGGATAAAAGGAGTTAACGTTTATAACATTATAAAGTATTTTGCAAACCTTGAAGTATTATATGAAAGCTATTACTATTTTTTTTATTATTGGTAATCAGTGGCATTACATAATAAAGGACTGATGATGGACTCCAGAACATCTAGGTTTAAATAATTTCTATGTACATACTAGTTACATAATCATGAGCAAACCACTTATCTTCTCAGGGGTCCTAGAAAATTCTCTAAATTATATACAGATTGCTGATCTGTATTTGTAAAAAGATTTTACACATTGGGAGCTTCCCATATTGATAAATCACAGTTCTAGATGAAATAAGTACATATATTTATATTATATATATATGTATATATATATATACACACAATATACATATATACGTATACAATTGTATATATATACACATACATGTGTGTATGTATATATAGGGTATCCTAACATTTTCTAGTCTGTTATATTTATATTATGCATATATAATTAAGATGCTAATTAAGATTTTCAATCACTTGTTATATTCCTTAACTTACCTTTATGAGAAGTGTCACTATAAAGAGACTAAATATATAAGTATGTTACTTATACTACATATATATGCATGGTATAGTATATTACATATACTGCATATGTGGATATGTGGATATATGTGTGCATATACATGTATGTGTATATATATTTATGTGTACATATGCACATATGTAGTGTGTGTATATGATTAAGTAATTCAAAAAGTTTATGTGGGTGTAGGTCCTTGAATGCATGTTGTATGTGATAAACTGCAAGGCCTATCACAAGCTAGATCAGCCCTTTTCACCCTTTGAACAACTGTAACATCAAAGACCCCAAAACATAGATGCCAGAAAAGGGACTTTGGGCACATTAATCTTCTCTCTTGTTCTTTAGCTTTCTTATCTATAAAATGTATTAGATGATTTCTAAGGATCATTTTAGTTCTGGAGAACCTCTAAAATCTCAACCTTAATTTTTTTCCCCTAATAAATTATAATGCTCAAACATTTTAAAATCAAATTTAAAAACTACAAATTTATACTAGATTCAGTGTTATTTCTGCCCTACTCATATCCAAAATAGCTTACTCAGACTTTATTTTTCCACCAAACCTATTAAGCTGAGTTATAATGAGTCAAATTTTCATGATGCCTTCTTCACACATCAGATCATTCATGAGCCCCTGGAAATTCCAGCTGAGCTCTGCTGAATGGAAAAGATGGAAGAAAAACAGCAAGAGATAATGGAAGAAATGGCAATAAAGTTGCTCTCGATAATTTCAAATTAACTACTTGCTTCATAAGGTTGTTGTGGAAAAAAATAAAAAGCACTTTATAAACTTTAAAATACTACGTTATAGAGAACTATTATGGGTAAATCCTCTACCAAAGACTTCTTCCAATGCCTGTCATGGCCTGAAGGTATGGACTTTACTTCTATTGTAAAAGTTAACTAACTGAAAGGTAAGGTTTCTTTATAATTAGATTAGAGTATCTGCTTCTATTATGCTATAAATAAAACTGTTTCATTTTTTAAAAAAATTCAAATTGACACCAAACAACCTTCTCTGGACAGTGAAGACTGGTGGTTTCCATTTGATCTCCCTATATATAGTTGCCCAGAAGAGATAAGAGGTCTCTTCTTGAGTCTAGTTGAAAAGAGAGAGGCAACCGGGGCAGGGAGGGGGTAAGGAAGGATAGTAATCCCTGTGAGAGGCTAATAAAAATCTGGCTCTAGAGATCAACTTCGTTGCTTCCATTCTGTGGATAAAATCAACATTGATCTCTGGATTTACTTTTATCTCAGTAGCCCTAAGGATACAGTCTCACTGCATTCCTTCTACAGTAAAGGAGCAAGGCACCTGCCTATGCATCTTGCTTGAGCAGTGGGAAGAAGGAACTGAGTACTGGGAAAGATAGAGCCTATTAGCATTTATTGTTCCTGAAGGCAGATAGAAGAGTCCTTATGAGTTTGAGTGCTAAGAGGCCAAAGTGAGCTCATAAGTACTTAAATTATAGTATAATTCACTGCCCTCCTGGACTTAAAATTACAAAGACTGCCCACATACATAGCAGACCCTTTAATGCCCCTAGATGTTAATCTTAATTGTTTGAGGAGCACAAGAAGGAGGAAGGAGCTCTTTTTTAGCGCTGAATTACTTTATGAAATACAGTGGCTAACGTCAATATGCTGAACATTTATTGAATAAAGTTTAACAACATTATAATAATAAATGATAGAAAAGAAAGCATGGATTCTAACCACTTTGTCCTCCTTTGGGCAAGCATCCAAGGAAGCAGGGTAAAGAGAAAAGAAGAAGAAGAGAAAAAGAAAAGGAAGCACATATTAATACATAAGGTTTTTTTAAAGGCAATTATATCAAGTGTCTCTATGAAGTTAAAACATAAAATTTTTAAAAGCAAAAGCATAATTCCTAAATAAAAAAAGTTCATTATTCATGCATAGGAAAAAAAAAGACATACATTTCAACTAGGAAAAGTCTAAATGAGAAACATTAGCAAAACAAAGTAATAAAGACCAGAAAAGAGAAATATTAGCCATCTCAATACTGTGATTACCCCAGAAAATTTTATAAGGACTAGAATCCATCAGGGTGTGGCATAAAAATATTTCTTCAATTAACTATTTTCCCATAACATATGCAGTTGCAAAGATGATCATTTGACAATTTAAATCAACTCTAGAATGAAATAAGGTAGGGTAGGCTTAAACACAAGAACAAATACGTAGATTTGTTTTCCTGTTCTTAACCTTTTCCCCCTGCTGATGCCTCCAAAAAAATCAAAACACAGTTTTCACGGTCAGCTGAGCCTTGAAGGGCTGACTTTCTTGAGCCTCAGGACATCTCTGAAGAGCAAATGTTTCTTTTGCTATATTTCCTTTATGTCTACTTTTTTTAAAAATCTAAGCTGTCCCTAAGAACTTTCATATTTAATGGTTAATCTCATTGTTGTGGGCTTGTTGCTGTCCCACCTTAGATAATCATAGGATCTTTGTGGTCTCATCTAGGAGAATTTTCCCCATATTTACCTTACTTGACGCCTCTCAAAATGGTCTAGTTTCTGTTGGGAAGAGTTTTGTCTCTTGTTCTTATCTCTCAGACAAAATATGCCATCTGCCATAATACTGAGGCACAACAGCTGAAGGTTCTTTTTTTGTCTTATTTATGTTCTTTTACAAAATCAATATTATATAGAACTTTTATGTTATTTTTAGTGCAGTATTGATAACTAAAAAAGATAACATGAAGGATTCTCTAAAAAGAAGACAGTCTAAAAGAGGAAGGCCAAAAGATCCTCTAGGAATGCTACCATCTTGATAGTTTTTACATAGTAGCATCTTACATTTAAAATGTATTTCAATGTCAAAGTAGTTTTTTCCCCCTTGTGACTAATTCTATGGCCATCACCTGCAGGGAATAAAATGTAGTACACTATTAAAATGCCTTCAAAATATATAGGCTACTTTTTGGAATTTTTGCCTAAGATTTTTCCGTTAGTGGTATTACTAGTTTTTCATAGGATTATGTTTACAAATGCATGGGTGTTAAAGTGAAATGTCAATTAGAACTGATAAGGAACTTGGGTTCCATCAGAGAGGACAAAAAGTACAAAATTGTAGCCCAATCACAATAGCAATAGGTGATAGACTTCATTCAGTATACATTCTTATATCCATAGGTGTCTAAATAATTCAAGCTCAGAAAAACTTAAGACATTATCAATTTTTCTTTAATGGGATGATAAAAGTTAAGCTGCTAATCACAAAGGCACTTCTACTTCTTGTTTATATTATCTTATATAAAACTCTATACAGCATCATTTATAAATTGTATTTTTAAATTAAAGGACCTGAAAAATAATGGTTATGTTCTTGTTTCACATAATGAAAATTAGAAAAATGCCTAATTATTTTAAACATTAAAATCATTGAAACTGAAATTAGTTTCATATTTTACAACCAAACTGCTCATGAAAATTTCCTGGAATTTACAACTCATTAAGATTAAGACTGTCAGTCTTGGAGAAGCTTGGTTGATAGAGCATTGGCCCTGGAGTCAGGAGGACCTGAGTTCAAATCCAGTCTCAGAAACATAACACTCACTAGCTGTGTTACTCTGAGCAAGTCACTTAACCCCAATTGCCTCACCAAAAAAAAAAAAAAAGAAAAAGAAAAGAAAAAGAAAAAAAAAAAGACTGTCAATCTTTTGTGGAGAAAAATTACTTCTACCTAAAAGTAGAACTGTAACTAGGGTGGGGCAACTGGAACTTTTCACCAAGATGTTAAAATTTAGAGGACATTGGCACCACCTACATTCTAGTACCTTTGAAACAGTTGACCACAGGGTCTCATTGGTAAGAATAATTAGGAAAAATTGAAAGCCACTACACAGCATTTTCTCTCATCTCAGAGACTTCTTATTCCAAATGATCTCTCCTCTTTGGCAGTGAAGACTCTTTGCATCCTAAGGTCTTTGTCTCCCTGTTTTCTATACCCATCTAACTGAATTATCCTTAATAGTTGATTTGAGGGTGGGTTTCATATTGCTTGCCCCTCAGGTCTATTTTGTTAAGCTTCCTCAATGTGGGAAAAAGTGCTAGTTAAGGCTTGGTCCATAAAACAATTCCTAAAACAATGTTTAAAATCTCACACAGTGATAAGCAACTTTTTAACCAAGTTACCTTCATTTTTCATCATATTGCTGACATTTTAAAATAGAGAGATACATAGAAGGAAAACACATAACAGGGCAGGAGAAATACTTGCAAAATGTTTATCTCTTTATACATATATTTTCTTTCCAATATAGATATATTTACAGGCTTAGAAATCTTAATGGTTTTATTGTCATCAAATATGTTTATTTCCATTCTTTCCACACTTACATTGTTTGATCGAAGAGAAACTCGGCCTCCACATCTCGCACAGAATTTGGTCCGGCAGTAAGAACACAAATGGCCACAACCATCAGCAAACTTTGTTTTCATACAAATGCCACAAGTGGGGGCATCATCTTTGTGCTCTCCTTGGTAACGCCGGGCTTCTTCCCCAATTTTTCTCACTTGTTCTTTATAGCTTTCAAATTGCTGATGCAATCTCCTGGGCAAAACCAAACACACAAACAAAGCAGAAGAAAACTAAGTATATCATAGGTGATGGGAAAACAATTCTTCCCAAAGTAATGCAGTGACCATGTAGTGATGTGAACCAAAGGATATGTTATCCTGTTCATTGACCTATGTATCTTACCCTATAGATAAAGCAATCATCAAAATAAGAGACTCATTCCACCTTGACCATTTTCCTATCATCCGTACTACCTGTTCCTTCACCCGCCAAAATACTAGAGCAGGAGTGCAGAACCTGAGGCCTCGAGGCCACATGTGGTCCTCAAGTGTGGCCCTTTGACTGAATTCAAACTTCACAGAACAAATCCCCTTAATAAAAAGACTAGTAACTAGACCTTGCCATCTACTCTGACTTTGAACTCTCCTGGGAAACTGAACCCTCTCAGCTCTCAAACTCCTGTTCTGAGTCTGAGTTTTCCTGATTAGTAAAACATGTCACATGGGCCACCACACTTGGTCAGCTTATCATGCTTCATATTCCAGTCCAGTCATATTCATACTATCTACCCTGCCATCATTCTGTATGTTTACCCCTAGTCTCTAACCCCTCCTTTCTCTTACTAGTTCAGTAATCAAATTGGCATTGCTACTAGTAAGGGTATGGCAACCAATTCCCTATGTTTCTACTCACCATCCCTATAGCCTTCCAAATCAAAACACCTTTCTGAAAACATCACCACCAAACTGTGTTGTGCCATCTCCCTAAAGAGAATATAAATTCTTTGAAGACAGGTACTCCTTGCCTTCTGTGTTTATATTCCTAGAAACTAACATTTAATACATGTTTTTTTCATTCATTCATCATTCATTCATTCATTCATCTTGGGATTATAGGGTTTATCTAATAAAACTGTTCTCAAATGTTCTGGTCTCAGGACATTATACTCATCAAAACTGAGAAACACTTTATACTCTTAAAATTATTGAAAACACCAAAGAGCTTTAGCTTATATTACTTATATCTATTGATATTTACCATATTAAAATTGAAATGGATATTTTCTCAAAATATGTATTTATTCATTTAAAATAACAATAATAAACATATTATATGTTATTAAAATGGCATTTTATGAAAAAACTATTTTCCAAAAAAAATAAATATGGTATTATCTTAGTTTTGTAAATCTTTTTAATATTTAAAGATAAGACAGCTTTATTCTCATATCTCCTTCTGTATCCAGTCTCTTGTAATATGTTGTTTTGGTTAAAGTATATTTGACTTCATATAGATAGGTAGTTGGAAAAGAGAAGAGTGTTTTAAAAGGTAAATAACATCTTAGTAACAGTAGTAGTGGTAGTAGTTAGCAGCAGTAGCAACAGCAGCAGCTAGCATTTATTAATTGCCTACTGTATGCCAAGTACTGTGCTAAATCTTTTATAATTATTATTTCATTTGTTCCTTGCAACAACCCTGGGAGGACAGTTATTATGCCATTTTACAGTTGAGCAAACGAAGACAAAGAGGTTAAGTAACTTGCTCAGAGTCACACATCTAATGTCTGAAGCTAACACTTGAACTCAGGTCTTCCTGAGGTATCAGAATTCAAGTGTTTCAAGTTCTTCAGTCCTCTGTCCACTGTGCCACCTACCCACCAATATTATTGTGAAAATATTTGATTAGTTTTATTATGAAAATAGTTTTGGCCTTGAAGATCCCCTGAAATAGTCTCTATCTATGGACCAGAGCCTGAGAACCACTGACCTAGTCCAACTCCTTCATTCTACAGATGAGGAAACTAAGGTAAGGAGGGGGTAAAATGAATTATGTGCCATTATCTGATCTCTTCCTGTATTTTCTTGCTTCCATGTATTGGCAACTGTCCCACATACCTGGAACAAAATCCAACATCAAACTCTGTTGTAATACTTTCCTTTCTCTGAGGTACAGCCCAGGGGCCAGTTCCTCCATCAAGCCTTTCCTAGTCATTGCAGTTAGAAATTACGCACCCCTTCTTCAACCTTTTAGATCACTCAAACCATTCCAATGTACTTTCCTAATTCTCATTTATGATATTATCAAATATTGTGCAATCAAAGAACTGTAAGGGACTTTAGAAATCATCTAATTCAAGTCCCCACCCTCTTTATTTTGCAAATGAGAAAATTAGTTTCCAGAGAAGTGAAGTTACATCCAAGGACCCAAAGGACTTAAACTCAGATGTGCTGATTCTAGAAATTACACTCTTTTCATTATACTTTATTACCCCTAAAAGACAGTAAGATCCTGGAATTCAGGAATTTTTTTTCGATCTTGCTAGCCCCAGCACCTAGCACAATGCATTTCATGTTACAGGTATGTAATAAATCATTACTGGATTGAATAGAATTCATTGACTTGCCCAAAGTGATACAGCTAAGTAAGAGAACTGAGCTGAGAACCCATATTGCTCCACTTTCTAGCTAGAGTATCTTTTCACTAAACCATTTTCATTATTTCATCAGGACAACCCACATGGAAGGGATTCAATAAATGCTCTTTGTAAAGAAAGTGAAACCTCATTTTTTACCTGCTTGATCCATCTCTTGATTCATCCAGACTACTTTGGTGTGTAATTTACAGATATCTATTCACTCTGCCTTCTCAAGCCTTTTAAAACATTAATGATTCCTTATACATTTGGATTTATATACTTTCTAGAGAGGGCTGGTGTGTCAGTTTTGACTTTAGGATGATTGTTCACTACATCTGATATAACCATTCCTTCTATCATGTAGTCAAAGGACCCTAAGATATAATTCCAGAATGAATGGATTTTTAAAGCCAGATTGTATTTGTTTCTCATCAATGAAGATTCGCAACATTCTTCTAGTTGTACTAGCACAGGAGGGGCTTGTCAGGAGATTTGGGTTCAAGTGTTGGCTCTGACATTCAGTTGTAAGGTTGATTATATGTGAGTTACCCAGACTCTCTGAGCTGTGGTTGCCTTATCATAGAATTAATAACTCACTACTTTGAAAGGTTGTTGTAAAGCCCTTTATATATGATAAAATGTCAGCAATTCTCATTATTTAATAATTATTGCAAATGATGTAAGTAATGCAAAATTCATTTGCTGCATAAAGATGGAAGACCAGTGACCCAGAACAGTTTTCCACAACCAGTATGTTTCAGTCTTTCCCTAAACATATCTTGAAGCCAATAGAATTTCCTTGTTTAACATTATACTCTCTCCTCCCTCAGGACTCTTATTAAGGATTCCATAATTATCTAAAGGTGAACTGAAGGAGTTCCCCTCCTTAGTGACAGCTTGGAAATACCCCAACAAGTGAAACCTATGGGAAATGCCTTGCTACTTGTTGTAGATTTGTTTACCACAGAGCACCTGGACAAACTTTCTGACATTAGTGTATTTCCTAGAATTTAGAGTGCAACTATCAAGTCTTTGACCTCCAAATATGTAGCATTTTCAAAGAAGGAAGAAATAACCTCAGGTTTTCTATTCAAAAAAACTGTAGGGATGTCTTATTCCCTCAAACACAAGTAAGTTTGATATAAGAACTTCATAGTTTGAAGAAGTGAGGATTGATTTTCTCCTTTTTTGATAGCAAGCAACTTATGAACAAGAAATTAAAGAAAAAAAAACACATTAGATTCTCCCTCTTCCCTATACTGGAAATCAAGTTTTCCACTTCTCCACATTCATCAAGGACAAGAATTAGATAACAAACATATTCATTCATATGTGAAACACATTTCACATGCTAGAGACAGGAATAGGAGTAGGAGTAGGAGTAGCAGTGGTAGCATCTGAACTCCACCTAAAAAGTGGTTAAAGGTATGAAACACAGCACAATTTAAATCTTACTTACAACTAATTCATACATTTAAGATTCATTGCTGAGATTAGAGTAGGGAAGGTGGAAATCTTATCTTCGTGTTATAGAAAAATTACTTGTTCCACTAAATTGAATCATATTTACTTGGAAAACGTAGTTTCAAACATATAGCAATTAGCAATGGATATAAATGACTTCCTAAATAAAGAAACCAAAATTTAACCTTTAGTTTCCTTAGGTTCTATTACAGATGAAAGAAGGATAAAAACAGGGAGTAGCATCCGCTGAAGGAAATTGAAATAAAACCCAAAGAATGAAAGAATAAGGAAGTAAATGTGTATTTTAGGAAATAAGACCACTAAAGTAAAAATAAAATGGACAAAGAATTGTGATAAGATAAAAGTTCTCCTTGCATTACGTCTTTATGATAATGTGATATAAGAGGTAGCCTGGTGACATGGAAATACTATTAAATAGGAAATCTGGATACATGTTTTGTAGTTCCAGCTTGGCTCCCTACTATCTGAGTTAGCCAGTCAACAAGCATTTGTTAAGGGCCAACGATATGAATGGAAAGGCTTAAGTGGCTGAATGAGGATTCCCAAACCCAGGTCCTCTGACTCCAGATTTGGTACTTGTTTCACCATACCAAGGAAACTTAGAGTCTTTATTCATGCAGTGTAAGACCTGCAGGGGCAAAATGAATATTAACAGTGATATTTCACTAGGGATTTCTGTCCCTAGAACAACTAACACCTTTAAGATACTACTAGAACACTAGTACTGAGACTATAGTATCAGATTTAACTTTTGTCTCTAGTGTTCTAATGCTTTAATCTATATCAGAATGTGCTACTGCTCTATTATGAATAATAAATGCAAAATGCATATTGTATCATACTGTATTACAGTAAATATGGGTTTCAGTGCAGCAAATAAAAAATTTTGAAATGAATTCTATTTGAACATCATGTTCACATAATTAATGACACCTTATTATTGATTAGTAAGCTTGGCAAAATATACAATCCCTGCTTTCAATCTCAAATAATGTTTGCTATTGAATATGCTTATACATTTTATATAAAAATGTTATAAAATATGCAATGACTAAAAAGGAAAAGAGTTTATATCAAAACAAAAGCTTTAGGCCTAGATCTGGATGTGTGTGTGTGTGTGTGTGTGTGTGTG